TAGATGGGTCCACCCACAGATGGGGTCCACCCACAGATGGGGTCCACCCACAGATGGGGTCCACCTATAGATGGGTCCACCTATAGATGGGGTACACCCACAGATGGGGTCCACCCACAGATGGGGTCCACCCCTAGATGGGTCCACCCACAGATGGGTCCATCCATAGATGGGGTCCACCCACAGATGGGTCCACCTATAGATGGGTCCTCAGATCTCTGGAGCTGGAAGTGATAACCTCTGACCTACCTCTGTTTCCAGGTGAAGTGTGACCAGTACTGGCCTGCAGACCGGGAGCCGCTGTACTACGGAGACCTGGTCATCCAGATGATGTCCGAGTCCGTCCTGCCCGAGTGGACCATCCGAGAGTTCAAGATCACCTCGGTACCTGCAGAGCAAAAACTTTAGACTAGGGACGTCCCCATCCAGCTTTTTGCACATCCAATACCGGCCTATCAGAGCTAGCTATCTCTCTCTCTCTACCTACCTACAATAAAAACTGGAACCTGTGGATTATCTGAGGATTTTACTACAGAATGCCCAATGACAAGCTACATTTACACATTATAAGACCACTTTGGTATAACACAATATATATAATTAGGGGGTCCTTGGCCTAGAAAACATTGAAGACCCCTTTATTAAAGTCTAAAGTTATTTATCTACTTACTTAGTTGTCAGACTCATTTTGAACAGGGATTTACTCTGATAACAACTTAATGGTTAGGACAGACCTGTGGGTTACAGATGCTAATGCTAATATGGGATAAGGAAAAGCCTACCTTAGACACCTTTCAAAGCGTAGATCTCAGGTGGAGTCTTCTGTGTGTGATGGTGACCCCCCTCCTCCCAACAGGAGAGCAGCTGCTCGTACCCCCGGGTGCTGAGGCACTTCCACTACACGGTGTGGCCCGACCACGGAGTCCCTGAGAGCACCCAGTCCCTCATCCAGTTCGTCAGGACGGTCCGGGACTATGTGGACCGGTCCCCCAGCACTGGAGCCACCGTGGTGCACTGCAGGTGAGACACAGGAACACACTCACACACTCTGTTTGTCTGGATCGGGGGCAGCTCCAGGTTTCTCTGTTTCTAAATGGCTGATTCAGATCAAAACTGGTCACTTCCAAAAGATGCTTTAGCTCCAATAGGACAGCTGATGTTGTGTTTGGGTGAATCAGGTTTGTAGAAGCTGGAAAACCTCTAAAGAAAGCTGTAAAACAGGGGTTTAAATGGCTGCTGTCCAGTGGGATTCAGAGGTTTTCCTTCTTCTACAAACCTGATTCACATCAAAACAACATCAGCTGTCCCGTTAGAGCTGAAGCATCTTTAGAAGAGACCAGTTTTTATCTCAATCAGCTGTTTAGAAACAGGAAACATCTAAAAACCTTCAGAACAGAAGCCGAAAGAGGCCTGGATTTGCCAACCACTGGTTTAGTGGCTGTTTTCCTGCAGGTTTTTACAGATTCCTCTGCTTCTAGACAGCTGATTCAGATCAAAATGGTCTCTTCTAAAGGTGCTTCAGCTCCAACAGGACAGCTGATGTTGTGTTTGGGTGAATCAGGTGTTTAGAAGCTGGAAAACCTCTAGAGAAACCTGCTGGACAGCAACCCCTGTTTTAGAAGTTTCTTTAGAATTTTTCCCTCTTTCTACAAACTTGATTAACCCAAACACAACATCAGCTGTCCTGTTAGAGCTGAAGCACCTTTAGAAGAGACCAGTTTTTATCTGAATCAGCTGTCTAGAAGCAGAGGAATCTGTAAAAACCTGCAAGAAAACCCCTTAACCCCCTAAAATCAGTGGTGGGCAAATCCAAGCTTCTTTGGGCTTCTGTTCTGCAGGTTTTAGATGTTTCCTGTCAGCTGATTGAGATAAAAACTGG